TGGATAGAGAACTGCCAGAAGTACAAGCTGGGTTTCAAAGAGGTAGAGGAACTAGAGATCAAATTGCCAACATTCGCTGGATTGTGGAGAAAGCAAGAGAGTACCAGAAAAACATCTACTTCTGCTTCATTGACTATGCTAAAGCCTTTGATTGTGTGAATCACAGAAAACTATGGCAAGTCCTTAAAGAGATGGGAGTACCAGACCACCTCACATGTCTCTTGAGAAACCTGTATAAGGGTCAAGAAGTGACCGTTAGTACTGGATACGGAACAACTGATTGGTTTACATTGGAAAAGGAGTACGGCAAGGATGTATATTGTCACCTTGCTTATTTAATTTATATTTATATAAATTATATAATTTGCTTATTTAATTTATATATATATATAATTTAATAAGTACATAATGCGAAATGCCGGCCTGGATGAATCACAAGCGAGAATTAAGATAACCAGGAAAAACATCAACAACCTCAGATATGCAGACAATACCACTCTAATGGGCAGAAAGTGAAGAGGATCTAAAGAGCCTCTTGCTCAGGGTAAAAGAGGAGAGTGCAAAAGTGGGCTTGAAGCTCAACATCAAAAAACCTAAGATCAAGGCATCTGGTCCCATCACTCCTTGGCAAATAGAAGGGGAAGTTGTGGAAGCAGTGACAGACTTCACGTTTCTGGGATCCAAGATCACTGTAGATGGTGACTGCAACCATGAAATTAAAAAACACCTGCTCCTTGGAAGGAAAGCGATGGCAAACCTTGATAGCATAATAAAAAGTAGAGACATCACCCTGCCAACAAAAGTCCATATGGTCAAAGCAATGGTGTTCCCAGTAGTAATTTATGGCTGCGAGAGTTGGACTATAAGGATGGCTGAGCACCAAAGAATAGATTCTTTTGAACTATGGTGCTGGAGAAGACTCTTGAGAGTCCCCTGGAGATCAAATCAGTCAAACCTAAAAGAAATCAACCCGGTCTGTTCCCTGGAAGGCCAGATACTGAAGCTGAAGCTCAAATACTTTGGCCACCAAATGAGAAGGGAGCACTCACTGGAGAAGACCCTGATGCTGGGGACGGCAAAGGATGAGATGGTTAGACAGTGTCATAGATGCAACGAACATGAAGTTGAGCAAACTTCAGAGGACGACGGAAGACAGGAGGGCCTGGCGTGATGTGGTCCATGGGGTCGCGAAGAGTCGGACTCGACTGTGCGACTGAACAACAACAATTGTGCCGGGATAGGGAGGCACATTTATATATAACACTTGAATTATTGAAAACAGTGCAGCACAGTTAAAAGGCATCTGCACATATTTACATTAAAAGTTAAATTGAGTTCAGAATTACCACCACTTCTTTTAAAACTATTATTCAGGGAAGAATGCAATTAAAGATCATTAAGGTGACTTCAGAAGAACTATAAGCCATATATTCTTTGTGCACTTAAAAGCTTCAGCTTTATCTTTTCAGTCAGCACCTGAATGAGTGTTGCTATTTTGGAAGGTAGATGTGTGTTTAGCTTGATTGCAGCACAGAGTAGGGTTTTTCCCTCCCCATATTGGAATCTGGGTCAAACGACATATGAATTCTAAGCAAGGCAAAATGTGCAATGAGCACAGCAATTTAGACCTGGAAACTTTCCCAAACATGAATATTTCTGAAGGGGGGGGGGGGAAGCGCCCCACTGCCTTTTGTTGATGATCATAATTTTCTTCCAAGAAATGTGTTGTATTCTTAGGATAATTGCCGTGTTTTTTTCCTGAAAGAAAAAAAGTCATGCAATTGATTTTTACATGTCTAAATATCTATTGTAGATGTCACTCTTCCCCGCCTCAAGGCCTTTATATCTCAGCTGTTGTCACGGTTACACATTGAAGCACTTCTCCATGGCAATATAACAAAACAGGTTGGTTTGATATATTTTTCAGCTGAGGCAGATTTATATTGATAATTCTATTTAAAATAAAGGGCATACAGCTCTCCCTTTAACAATAGGGATTTTTTTTAAAAAACCTCCAGGTAGTTTTTCATTAGCTTTATTGTCAGTGAATTTTTCAGAATGCTTTTTTTTGCATTGGTCTATTAATATCGCTGTCTTGGAATGTATGTACTATATAATGTCAGAAGCATGTACTGAAGATGCATGTATCAATAAAGTCTCTTGATTCCATATATATATGCTTGGGCAAAATGGACATTCTGCTATTTCTGTGTTTTATGTTAAAATATCCTAACTTTTCACACACTAGAATTATTTGGCTTGTGTTAATTTCCTTGGAGGCAGTTTTATGCTGCACAATATTTTATGCACAGTGTTGCAATGGCAAAACAAGTCTCTAAAAACAACAGTGCACTGGAGCACTCGTTTACGTTCACAAGCTAATGGTATCTGACTTGAACAGAGAGCAAGAACTGAGAATAGCTGGCGGTGAAGTACGTGTCCAAAATTAAAATGGCAGTGTATGAGCTGGGAATAATAGACTTTGACTTTCTTTTTATAGCATAAGAAGATTTGGTGGCAATAGGCATGCGACAGCTTTGTGTGAGATTTGACTATTAACTTGGCCAGGCTGTTTTAATGCAGCAAAGATGGCCGTAATCTTGATGCTATGACAGAAGTAGCTGGCTTCCATACCCAACCTGTGAAATTAGGTTAGCTCTATGTATTTGCTGAAATTTTTACTGAGCATACTTGGGGTGGGGGAGGTGCTCCACATATAAGTAGAAGAAGCCAGCAGCAGTGAGCATAGAAAAAAATCTCCAGCATCTCTAAGCATCGGACACATTGGTGCAACTTTTCTGCATGGTGCAACTTTTGTTTAGGGAACAACAGTGAATAAAGACATGCAACCAATTTTTTTTCCTGAGCATTTTTTTCTGAGTAGCTTAAGTGAAGGGCAGCCTTAAAGGCAGGCTTCTGAGAGTTCAAGGACAGGTGAAACTGCTGGGGCTTCCCCACACTTAGCAGGTACAAAGTATTTATTTCTCCAAGGAGTTTGGGATGGTATCTGTGACTCCTTTTTATCTTGCAATAACCCTGTTAAGTGGGCTATGCTGATAGGCAATCTCCTAAGAAGCTTCGTGGTGTATGATCAGGGCACCAGGTTCAAATCCCCTCTGTGCCATGAAGCTTCTTAAGAGACTGGCTCTCAGCATAGCCCACCTAACAGGGCTGTTGCAAGATAAAAAGGAGAGGGGGTCAGACCGGAAATTAAGATTGCTCTCTGCGGAAATGATGAACGGTGTTTACTGTACTGAGGTGATGAACACATTTTTACTGCTAGGACCACTATGCTATAATACCCCAGTAACATGAAGCCGTCTGAGTCTTCACTGCTTGCAGGTTCAGGAGGACTAAGGGCATTAAGCCTTACCAAGTATTGTAGGGGAGGGCACAATTCCAATAGGTTTCCAGAGATCCATCTACAAGTGACTGAGAATGGTTTAGAGTCCTTCTGCCAGAATACACTCAGTACATGGGTGGAAGGAGGAAGTGACTTGAAAAATTTCAAATAAATGAAGAGGAAAGGGGCTTGAAAGACCATTCGGTCCCAAGTATGTACTAACACGTAGGAGATGGAGGTTATAGAAATGACACAACATCTGGATTCTTTGCACAAGAACCTGTGACGGGTTGTTTCCCCCCGGTCACCCTCATTCTTGGCCAATACATGATAGACATTTACAGATTTTCTGGAGCCAACAGGTCTGAAAGAGCTTCTTCATCCTTTATTGCACCTCTGGTGGTGATCTCAGTCGAGCTGATTTTTCTTTTTGGGAAAGATAGGGTAGTGGTGAATGTTCTTAAGCTTCTGGTTCATGAGCTTTTGCTTGCTAATTATAAGAAGTCTTAAGATCATTTCTATTTACTATCTTAGAGCACCCTTTGGATGATAGCTCCCCCTGCTGCATGCACTGCTAGCTCCCTACAGTTATAGGTAGAATAAACTTTTAAGGATGATGATAACATTAACTTGTATCAGTTGTGATTCCACAGAAGTCATAGCTTATAAACCTGGACAAACTAGTTACGTGTGCATGCATTATACATTTTTGAGCTCCCTTTGGTTGTTTTAGTATTTTAAATATAATGTAGAAAGCACCAGGGGATTCTCTTTGAGAGGTTTTTTTTACTCTACAAAGCTGTTGCATGAAATACATCTCAGCTTCCCTGTTGTTAATACCTACAATTAATCTGCTGCAATTAATCATCTCCCTTTCGTTTCTAATTTGCCATTTCCTTAATACCGGTTATCTTTCTGTGTACTACCAAGTGGAGAATTGTTGTGGCATCTGTAATGGATTTCTTCTCTCCCAGGCTGCATTAGGAATTATGCAGATGGTAGAAGACACTTTCATTGAGCATGCTCATACAAAGCCTCTGCTTCCCAGCCAGCTAGTGAGATACAGAGAAGTACAGCTACCCGACCGTAAGTTCTCCTTCTGGATGGTGGAAGCTGTAAAACATCTCATTTAAAGCTGAGATTCATGGTGCACAAGAATTGAACTCAGAAAGGGGTTTTGTTTAACTTATTTACTTCATTTAAAGGCTGTATTAGCTATCTTTCTACCTTACAGGAAGGTGGCTTTCGATGTAAACAACACAATAAAATACATAAACACCACCATTTTAAGATCTATGATTAGATTTTAGTTTAAAATCCATGATTTGTTCCATTGTCATTTGTATTTACTGACACTGACTTGGTTTCCATTTTGTATCATAGATCTTGCAGAGTAAAATGGTGAAGTGGGGGGTTTTTTGCAAGAGAAATCTTGTCTCTAGATCTGTGATGTGATTCTCTCCGTGTGCAGTATTGGAAGAAAAGAACATGCCTCATTGAATACAGTACAGAGTAGCTATGCAAATGAAACCTTGTAATTTCCAGTACTTGACTTTAAAATGCACAACCAGGATTCATTTGAAACACACAGAAGAGTTCTGCGATGCAAAACAGTCGCTCTGATAGTAATACATAGAAGCGCAGCTTGAGAAATAATGTAGCATTGGCGACTGGTTGTTAATTTGTAGATCTCCGACAGCTCTTTACCAGAGCCCCGTTTGAGATATTTATGCCCCTGAACTGACATGACATGACTAGAAGCTCTTGGAAGAAGCAAGCCATGCTCCTCGCATCACCCTAGTCCATGGGATTTGTTGTATTGCCATTTTTTTCATGCCACTTGTACTCCAAACAGTTCAGGGTGACATCTTCTGTTTTCATCCTCACCACACTCCCATGAACTAGATGAGTCTGAGAGTGTGTGATTGGCCCAAGGTCTGAATAGGGATTTAGCCCTAGATTTAATCTGTTCCTAGTGCAACACCTTCCCTGCTTCACCCCACTGGCTTTTTGCTTATGCACTGAAAAGGCATTGAGCAGACAGTGTAGATCTCTCCATCAATACAAGTTCTGTGATAGAAGACTCTCTGCTTGCTGGTTTACAAAATCACATTTTTCTTATCTTTGTTTTACAGGGGGTTGGTTTGTCTATCAACAGAGGAACGAAGTTCATAATAACTGTGGTATAGAAATATATTATCAAACAGATATGCAAAGCACCTCAGAGAACATGTTTCTGGAGCTCTTCTGTCAAATTATCTCAGAGCCTTGCTTCAACACTCTGCGTACTAAGGAACAGTTAGGTGAGCTTTTGCTTGATTCCCCTTCCCCACACTCACCCAGAACAGTATATAACAGTGATGGCGAACCTTTTAGAGACGGAGTGCCTAAACTGCGACCCAAAACCCACTTATTTATCGCAAAGTGCCAACACGGCAATTTAACCTGAATACTGAGGTTTTACTGTAGAAAAAAAACCTCATACATTAACTTAAGATGATCCAAACAAAGTAAGGAAAGCAATCCCAAATGCTTTCATTTACTTAAAATTATTTGGCAGAGAATTCGACACTTTAATGATGGTCTGGGCCCGGTTGGGGCGATAGCATGCGTGCCCACAGAGAGGGCTCTGAGTGCCGCCTCTGGCACATGTGCCATAGGTTCGCAACCACTGGTATATAACCTCATATCATTGGGATAAGCAGGCTTCTCATTTCTAATTTTTACCGAGACTCCCATTCGTATGGTTCAAGGACAAACGGCAAGCTGCAACACCGGTGCCTTTCTGTTGGCTGTCACGCAACACTATTTGTTAAAACATTTATTAGCTGCCTTTCTACCTTATAGGAACGCAAGGCAGCTAACTTTATTGAATAATAGGCATTTTGCCCACCAACTTCAATGGATTTAGAAGGATGTGACTCTGTTTAGGGTTTGCATTGCTGGACATTCAAAGTAAAACAACAGTTGAAGAGCCATATGTCACTTACGTGCACCTAAAATAAGATTAAATTCATATCCCTCGGCACAGGTGATGTCTTTGTATAATAAAGAGTTTTTTAAAAAAATAATAATAAACAGTTGGACAATTGTGTGCTACAGTGTTAATGAGGGAGGGGGATGCAAACAGTCTTTTTGTCATTGCTTGTTGGCTTTTTTAGCCATTGTGTGGTAGGAATATATTGGATAAGGTTACTTGAAGGAATCCACAGTATACTGTGCTGCTGTCATTATGCTTTGGGTAAGCCACATAAATCTAACCACAGCAGCTCTGATTCACTATCTGTATTCCTTCACAAATAGTGATAAATCAAATTGTTTTAGTAGTCACTATTTCAGAGCGATGCAGGAGAATTATTAATGCAACTATTTGTGTGTGTGTGTGTGTGTGTGTGTGTGTGTATAAACTGTGTGCTCTTTTCCTCCATAGTCAAAAATGCATAATGTAAAAAACCTCCAGTAGCCTGAAAGTTGGGATGGTTGTGACCTCTATTTGCTTGATAGGACACCACTAAGGAACTAGTGGTCATGTTATTAACTTAATATGAAAAGCTAGAATTCAACAAAAGAAATACAAATCTCTTTCCTTTTGGGGAGAAGGGATGTAATTGGTGTGAAATTGCAGTCTCTCGTCAGTTGAATTTATTTGGGTGTTTTTTTCTTTCTTTGAAGGTTACATTGTGTTCAGTGGTCCACGCAGGGCTAATGGTATCCAAGGACTGCGATTTATCATTCAGTCAGAAAAGCCCCCACACTATTTGGAGAGCAGGGTTGAAGCTTTTTTAAAAACCATGGAGAAATGCATTGAGGAAATGTCGGAGGAAGCCTTCCAGAAGCATATCCAGGCGTTAGCGATTCGCCGCCTTGACAAGCCAAAGATGCTGTCTGCTGAGTGCGCAAAATACTGGGGAGAAATAATTTCTCAACAATATAATTTTGACAGAGGTAAAAGTTGAAATCTCTCAACAATATAATTTTGACAGAGGTAAGAAAAGTTGAAACCCCTCCAAAACTGAAAATATGAACGCTTGTGAATGAAAGCCTAAAAAGTACAGTTCAAACCACCTGAAGTTTCCAACACATTTGATTCTATATTGTACTCATTAGATTAATTGATACCAGTCTCAACATTGGACTATAATGCATAGCTGTTTCGTAAATATATTTTTTTAACCAGTTCAGCACTTCTCTCTCTGGCTCAGATATGTCCAGAATGGATTTTTATCATCTGTTAAATAGTGATTTGATTATATAAATATAAAATTTATGTCTATGAAGGAAAAGATTGTGCAATTTGGAAATCCCAGTGCTGGAATAAATTCCTTACCTTGTCCTTTCCATCTTGCTAAGAAACAAATGAAGGTTGTTACAGGTGTAACACTTCCAGTTTCTTAATCTTAATCAAGGATTAGGTCTGTTATATATGCATGGCTCTCATTTCTTAGACTATCAATACTTTTAGAAGCTAGCATATTGGTGTTAAAGTTTAAAATATGTATTCTTTGCTGACTGTAATTATAAATATTCCTATCCAGATAACATTGAAGTGGCATATCTTAAAACTCTCACTAAGGATGATATCATGCACTTTTACAAGGTAAATTGATCATAATACTACTTATTTATTCTTTAGTTAATTTGGGGATTAGAGTGTTCGATAATTTGTTTGGAATGGATGGATCGTTACCTTAATAGTATTCAGATAGACCAGATGTAAAATTGTTTGCATAATTCCCTAACTGACAGCAATACAGCAGGATCTAGGAGCATATTCCCAGTCTCCCCCCCCCCCCACACACACACACACCATTTATTCTGAATTTTTTGGCCAGAATAAAAGTACTGTTCCCCGATTACTTTGCAGAAACTCTGTAGCAGATATGGTCACTCAGTGGCTCAGGAGCCACATGTGGCTTTGATGTGCCAGCTGTGGCTCTTCCAAGCACTGTTCCCCAATATGGCCATATTTCAGAAAAGTAGCCAAGGCCCTTACCTGGTGGGGCTTGTGTATGGCAGGTGGGTCTGTTGCACCATGAAGCAGCCACTGGCTGCTAGGCTTCCTGAGGTCCAGGCCTTATGCCAAGGGTGGAAATAAATGCAGCTCTTTTGGTTGATGGCAATTGCAAATGTGGATCTACACAAGCTCTGGAGTGCCCTTGAGATTTATATGCTCTGGGGGGCACTTTAGGGTACTGGGGTTTAAGAAAATGTGTCCTAATACTTGTTTGTGCTCCCACAGTCAGCATAATTAAAATATGGTGAAAGAGCCTTTCTTTTCCATTTCTGGTTTGGTTTTTTGGGGGTTTTTAAATTTTATTTTAATAAATAGAAGTTCTTTAGGGAAACAATCATATAATCCTGTCCTTGTCTATAGGTTAGAATTGAAGCATTGACATTCTGAATACTTTACAGAATAGCGACGGGGGGGGACACCTCAGCCTCTTTCTCTGTTCTTTGCTGAATTATGCAAGGCACACAGTGACCTTGTAGGCATCACTGGATATTGCAGCTGCTTTTGTCATTAAGTTAGCTGTAACACCTGCATAGTGTTTAAACAGCATAAGAAGCTATGTAATAATAGCTCATTGTGGCTTGCTCTCAGCTCTGGGTGTGAAGTTAGTTTGGGGACTGTATCTCATGGATCTGTTTCATAAATGGTGGTGCTTTTCCCTGGCACAAGTAATCTTCCCTGGATGCATCAGTTCCCTTAGTAGAAGAACCTCTTTTCCTAGGGCATTGATCAACAACATGGTTCCTGCTAGTGGGTTTCCCAGTTCCCATTTGCTTGCTTCTACCTAATTGGGGTAGGTGTTTCAGAACAATCCAGGAGGCAACACAGGGAGCAGCACCTGTTCAGAAACCACCGCTTCTGTCAGGGGAGAATGCTTGGCTTACAAATTCTTAACTCTTTGTGATAAGCCCAGCACCTTATGGCGACCATTTTGTGGTTGTCCATGCTCCCCATTGCAGTCATTTTGTGGTGGTGTCAACTCCCCATTGTCAGAATTCCAAGTGTTACCCACACACTTCCCAGGGGAAGGCAACTTACACAATGGAAAGGTGCCACCATTAGTGAAACAGGTCCATGAGATCTATCCCCACAAATTCTGCAGAATGACAGAGTTGTTAGCATAAAGCTTACTGATCAGATGATTACTCAGATTTAAGTACTATAGATGTCAATAAAATCTATCTATATTTAATGGCAGAGTTTTTTCCCCTCCTATTTACCCCCCAGAATTGGCAGTAAACACTTGCTTAAAGACGACTTCTAGTAGAATCTTGTTTTCTAAAATTGTCTTGAAGACCACTGAAGTGGACTCAGATTCTTGAAACCAGACAATTTAGGATTAGTTTCTGTATATACGTACTAAACTCTGCTGGGTAGAAACTCCATGCCAGAGGTCTTCTGAGTCCTTTGATGTGTTTTTTGCTGACATTCACCAAGGCAGAGGGCAACCTTATAGTAGGCTTTTATGAATTATATACTAAATAGTGCATGGCTCTGGCATTTTACATAATAAAGGTATTTTGCCAGTATTGATGTTGCAGGAGGCCATATTCAGCCAGATGGCCTGTGCTGATTGGAATGAGGAACAGCCATTGCTTACCGAAATAAAAGCGAACTTCCTTGAAAAATTAAGCTCATAATCTGCAGTGAACACAGAGTTGCCTAACTAGCAAATAGCATTATTGAAAAGGTGAATTCAACAAAATGAAAAGGAATTTCAGGCAGTTTACTTATGTTCATGAATTTGCCCTGTACTGCGTTGTTCCATCAAGGTCAGCATTATCTACTCTGATTGGCAAAAACTCTCTAGGGTCTCAGCCTCAGGCCTCGATCTTTTACATCACTTGCTAACTGGTCCTTTTAACGGGAGATGCAAGTGATTGAGCTGGTGACCTTCTGCATGCCAAGGAAATGCTGTATCACTGAGCCAGGGCTCTTCCCAACAAGCAGACTTGTTAAGTAGCTCTTCCAGATCTAGTTTGTGTTCTAATAGCAGGCAGCTCCACAAAGACCTCTGCAGTTACATTGACACATGTTTTGGTGTAGTAGTTAGGAGCGTGGACTCTAATCTGGCAGAACCGGGTTTGATTCCCCCACTCCTCCACTTGCACCTGGATGAACTTGGGCAAGCCATAGTTCTGGCACAGCTGTTCTTAAAAAAGAGCAGTTTCTGTCAGAGCTCTCTCAGCCCCACCTGCCTCACAGATTGTCTGTTGTGGGGAGGGGAAGGGAAAGGAGTTTGTAAGCCGCTCTGAGACTCCTCTGGGTAGTGACGGGCAGGGTATAAATCCAATAATCTCCTCCTCCTCCTCCTCCTCCTCCTCCTCCTTCTCCTCCTCTTCTTCTTCTTCTTCTGAAAATTCTTTTACTAATGTGATTAAAATGAACATTGTTTTCTAGAAAGTAGCTGATATTTGTTGGTTTAGCCATCTTTCTATAGCATCCCCCCTTGAAAATGCAGAACTATAGCTATATAAAAAAATGGCTTCATTTTATGTTACTTTAGGATAATGATTCATTAATTACCTGATTCCAAGAATCAAATGTTCATTGTCTTCCTTTTCTAGATCACCTGGAGCTCATTGGCTCCATTGACTAATTGTTTAAATGTGCACTGTTAGAAGGGCAATTGCCTTTCTGTAGTATCAAAGGGGAAAAAATTTAAATGTAATACTGGAATGTGTCTAAAAATAGCTGCAGTAGGAACTTGTAATTAACTTTCATGTTACCTTTGAAGACAATTTAGCAAGAACTGCTCTAAGGTACTTTAGGAAAGCTCATTGCTTTCAGGGCAGTACAAATAGAACATGATAGTGTATTGCATTCGTTTTGGTAGACCTGTCATTACAGCAGATCCAGAAAATGTTAGTTATTGATATAAATGTGTTGTGGTTAAAGCTATCTGATTCCAGTGGCCATGGACTCTGATTTATTCCTTACCCAGCTAATTCAGTTAATGAAGCCTGTAATGAGATGCAAGCAACTAATGCTAGGATTACTTTAATGTATTTACTGTTGCAATACATTTAATACTATCTTAAATATTGCTCCTGTTTTTGTATTAACATTTCAAGTTGAATTTCCATCCTAGTCTCAGTTATCATATACTTCCTGCATTGCAGTTTCATTTCTCTCGATACTTTAAAAAGGGCTTTGGGGAGAGTATGCAGTCTTCTCTGCCAGGCCACACCCATTAAATAGAGGCAAGGTTGAAGTAGGGGCAGGGGGCTCATTGATGCACCAGAGCATTGATAGGTTATTGCTACCAAGGGTCAGGGAAGGCCAGACCAGCAGGTGTTTTCCTGTATTTGAGAATCAGTCTACAGAAGCAGTTGATTTATAGATGATTTGGAACGGTTTTCGTGATACTGGAGAGAAGTAACAATGCGTAACATGTAGGACATAGGCTACTTATTCCTAGCGGCAAATATAGATATTCCACTCTACTTGGTGGATGATACAGCTTATGTCAATCAGGGATGGCTAATTTTTTCATACTTTGAAGTCCACAGTAAAATGTTCCATTGGTCTCTACTGGAATAACTGGTGATGTTTTTTGGGTTTTTTTGTCTGTAGAGGATGTTGGCTGTAGATGCCTCAAGGAGACATAAAGTATCAGTACATGTACTAGCAAGGGAAATGGACTCCTGTAAGTACTGAATGCATTTATTTCTCAAAAAAAAAATGTTCAAGTAAGCACAGTAAAACAGTTTGTACCGTAGATACTTGTCCTGCAAATTTCAGTTCTGGAAGGATTTTTATGACCTCTGGTGGATGGGTGGAAGTATTTGCACTCAGATAAGAACTAGAAAATAAAGTGTGAGAAGTTTGGGAGCTTCAAGATTTCTAGGTAGTGCAAAAAAAAACCAAACCACTTGGCATTTTCATTGTTTGTCTTAATTCTTGGCTTGGAATGGTCTGTTTGGAATTTTATGTGCATAATTAGATGTTTTTAACAAAGGTTTGTTTGTTTTAAATTTAACAGGCCCCGTTGTGGGAGAATTTCCAAGCCAAAATGATGTCAAACTGGCACCAGCACCACCACTGCCACAGGTAAAAAAATTGACCTCTCATAACCATTTATGAAAGAATGGAGAGTGCCTATGACACTATCCAACATAATTACCACATTGGGTTACAGTTGCCTCTGAGAGGCAATTCTAAAGCTAGGTACTGGTCTGCAAGTTGCATTTTTACTTCTCTTTTCTTTCAATAATATTTTGATATTGCTTAGTTGGCCTTTTATTTATACACAGGTCAATGAAATTGTAAGGGCTGTCTCAGATTTATTTATTTGATTTCTAGCCTGCCCTCCCCTGCATAGCAAGGCTTAGTGCAGTAATACGTAATACCAGCAGTCATTAAAAATCCAGTATAACATCAGTTAATGACAGTATATCAAACAGTAATCAGTGGTACCCATTAAACACAACTATTCCTAAATCAACTCCACATATGTGCAGCAGATGGTAACTATTTATTTATTAAATTTATACCCCCACCCTACCCCAAACATCAGCTCAGGGCAGCTCACAACATAAAATCAGCAAACAAATAAAAACAATAAAACAACAAATAGCAAACTATGGGTGGCGGACAAGAAGGAGCCATGTAGTGTGAGACATGCGGGGGGGACCAGTACTAATAAATCTCCACCTCCTCAACCAAAGGCCTGGTGGAAAAATCTCCATTTTGCAGGCCCTGCAAAGTGGCATTAGGTCCACAGGACTCAGATCTCCTTTGGGAGAGTGTTCCACTAGGCCGGCACCAGTGCCGAAGAAACTCTGACTCTGGTTGAAGTTAGATAGACCTCCTTCAAGTTGGGGGCCACCACTAGATATTGATCCGTACAGTGTAATGCTCTTTGAGGGACATACCAAGAGAGACAGCCCCGAAGGTGTGTTGATCCCAAACCACTTTGAAGGTTAGAACCAGAACCTTGAATTTGATCTGGTATTCAAGTGGGAGCCAGTGCAGCTGGTGGAGCACCAATTGTATATGAGCTCTTAATGGTGTATATGGGCTCGTAATAGTGCAGAAGGAATTGCTCTACATAAGGCAAGCCTGTATCCCATGTAGGCCACAGCCCCATGGATGGTGCTGCTTCACAATAGCAATGTTTATGCATGCCATGGTACATTTCCCAACCACCATACCCATGCAGATCACTGCCAGAAAACAAACTGGCCTGGGGCTTCTCCAGCTGCTGTGTTATGGCCAATATTACAATAGCTGAACCAGCCCTCTTAGTTTGCCTGTATGCAGGTGTCTGTGTGTTGTCCCAAGCATGCACATTTTGTAGGTGTGGGTGATGTGGCCCTATGGTAGACAATACATGTGACGCATACACAAGATCCTAGGCATCTCCTATTAAATGATCCGGGGTAGCAGGGTACTGGGAAGGACCTTTTTCTGCCTGGAGAGCTTCTGTCACTGAGCGTAGACAGTACTGAGATGGATGGAACAAAGATTGTCTGATTCGCTATGAGCTTGTTCGTCTTACGTTCAAGCCCCTGCCTGAATATCATCATTTAGCAACCAATATGAGATTGCACTCTGCATCCCAGAATCTATTTTGAGTTTCGTTCTATGTTTCCTTCAAATCAGTGCTGTCTTTTTTCAGTAGCCTATCCACACATTTCAATTAATATTTTCTAAGTCAAAATGTGCTATGATATAAAGTTGTGTTCGAAGTTTCACCCTTTTGTAGTTATGTAGAGCTGCGGTGGCTCAAGTGGTTAAGATGCTGAACTGCAGGCTGTGGAAGGTCAGTAGTTCAGCAGTTCGAGACCCGGGTGCCGCATGATGGAGTGAGCTCCCATCTCTAGTTCCAGCTCCTGCCAACCTAGCAGTTCGAAAGCAAGAAATTGCAAGTAGATAAATAGGTACCACTTCGGTGGGAAGGTAACAGGCGCCTTGGTGTTTAGTCATGCCGGCCACATGACCATGGAAACATCTTCGGACAGCGCTGGCTCTTCAGCTTGGAAACAGAGATGAGCACCGCAACCCTAGAGTCGGATTCGACTGGCTTTCGAGCAAGGGAACCTTTACCTTTATCTTTAGAGCTTTGACAGCTGTTGGTGATAAGGGGGAATCTGCATATATTTTTTAAAAATTCTTTAACATGTATTAGGGCAGATCTTGGGCATTAGAAACAGCTTCTGAGGCTGCCGCACAGCTCAGATTACGGCCCTGCCCTCATGATCTAATGGAGGCTTCCAGTGTGGTGGTTGGGAATGATTAGTACTGTGTTTTCCTGTGGTGACCTGAGTAGCCCACGGCTAGCCTGATTTCAGTCTTGCCAGATCTCGGAAGCTAAGCAGGGTAAACCTTGGTCAGTATTTGGATGGAGCCCACCAAGGGATACCAGGGTTGCTTTGCAGAGGCAGGCAGTGGGAAACCACCTCTGAACGCCTCTTGCCTTGAAAACCCTCTGGGGTCTCCATAAGTCAGCTGCAACTTGATGGCAAAAAGGGGGGAAAGCCTGCTGTGGATTCACTAATGTAAATTCCTTTAGCAGGGAATGCCTTTCTAATCATTGTCCCCATCTATTTGATACATAGCTTTGGAGGAAACAATCTTCAGGGAAGCTTTCATCTAGCTGAATGTGCATTCATTTATTAATTACAATATTTGTATTGTGCCCAGAATTGGCAAAACATACAATAAAAAACACAAAAACAGAAATGAACCACATCACAATGCAGGCCCAACAGTAATAACTCTGTTTTCATCTCACTGATATACTCGACATTATTCATAAGAAAAAGTCTCAGCTAAAAGCCCTCTGGAAGAGTCTGGTCTTGCACACCTTCCTAAAGATGGACAGTGAAGGTGTCTTCTGAACCTCCTTTGATGGGCCATTCCAAAGAATCAGTTAAATGACTAAGGAAGGCTTAGAGGAATGGAGGAGCAATGAACAATACTATGAAAAGGCAACATGAGAAAAAGCTGACTGGAGGAGTACAGTTAATACAGGGAGATGTGGTCCTTTTAGATGTGTTGAGTCCCAGGTCACAAAGGGCTTTAAAAGTAAGCACTAGGAGTGTGCAAAAACACCCAGGTATTTTCTGGGTTCGGATATATTGAACCCGAAAAATACCAGTATTTTCTGATATTCCCAAATCCCAATACCAGTATGGTATTGGATTTGGGAAACCCACATTTTTTTCGGCTCCATTATACCCTATGGGGATCATTATAGTCAGCCGATCCTGGGCTGGCTCCTCTTGCAGCTCGGTTTAAACCAAGGTGCAAGAGGGGCCAGCCCCAGCCGCAGAGCTCTCAGCTCCTGCCACCTGGCTGATCCAGGCTGCAAGAGGAGCATACCAGCCATTCAGTATAGCTCAGCTATACCGGTAGCCAATCATATTCTCTGATCTGCATTCAGCTTAAATAATACCCCCAAAATACCAGTAAGGTATTTTTCATAATGCCAGTGAGGTATTTTTCGGTTATTTTTTTCGGCTTAGCTTATGCTGAATACACACCCCTAGTAAGCACCTTGCATTGAATCTGGAAGCAAATAGGCCGCCGAGGAACTTATTCCAGTATTGGTGTTACATGTTCAAAGTGCCTTGCCCCTGTTTAGAAACTGGGCTGTTGCATTCTGTAGTTAGTCTTTATTATGGCTCACAAGACATTCAGAAGCAGAGTAAAGCAGATTGAAAACAGATAAAAATACTAATATTCTGTAGTAGTGGAGGCTTCTGATTAATCCTGAAGAGCAGGCACACACATGTCAGAGGAGTCTAGATAGGGAGACAGATTACAAGCTAGTATCTCTGAAATAATGTGCTCTTAACATAGGCACCAGCCTGCTTCTCTATTAGCAGGGCTGAGTTCAGAAGTACTCCCAAACTCTTTACATAATCTGGCAAAGTTAAAGTCACCCATCAAGGTCAGAATATCAATCCCCTCTAGGTCATTAGCCTTCTCAATAAACATCACCCCAGTCTTCAAAAAAAGGTCTTATGCCCTAATTTTTTGGTATCTGTTTTGCGATCCGGACTTAGGAATCTGTCCATCTTGAGTTTGTAATTTAACAGTGACTTTACCACAGCGTGTAAATATTCATGCATGTGCCAGATTCTTAGTCTCTCTCTTTTTTCTGATATGCTTATTTGCAGCC